TTGCTTGGCAAAAAAGAACCTAATTCTTGCCATAAAACCTGGCAATACCATTATGTTCAGATCAGTTGAAGCGAATGTACATGAAGAAACAGTGGTGCCCTTAGGGACTCTGCAAACCTGAATATTAGAAAATTCCCATCTGGTGATCAGCTTACGAACCAAAGGAAGTGTAGAAATTCGCTGGCAAACTCTTCAAAACTGTTCTGCGTATTGAAAAGACATTAGTGGGGAGGCTATATTCTGCCTGATACTGTTTCTGTTACATCTGGTGTGAAAGCCTGGTACCACCGAGTTCAGCATGAAGCCCATAATGAATTTAAGCGGGAAGGAGACTGCACCTCAGATGAAGTTATATCTGAGATAGAGTTTTGCACCTGGCTCAGTTCTGACATTTGATTTGGTGAGCTGATCATTCTGAGGACAAATCTACTAAAACATAATGAGGGCTTCCTGTGGTGGGCTTGAGTCCTGTGTTTGCTTGGTCCTGATCGCATGACACAGGTGCAGGCATCGTGGCCACGCTGGGCACGTTCAAGCCGATGCAGGCGTTTTCTACAGTAGCAAATGTTTTCTTGACGTGCTGAAAAATGCAGCCTGTCATTTCAGCAGCCGTCTTCCTCAAGCGTTTGGCAGGAATCACAAGGTGCTTGAGCAAATCGGTTAGCTGAGGGCAGAGTGTTTTACTAGCCTTACCACCACAGCCGAACCTTCCAAATGTAGCGATCCCCTAACTGAGTAAGGCTTATTTGAGAGACTACAGAGTCTACAGAAAACTTGCGGGCTTCAGAGCAGCCTAACCTCTTTGCTGTTGTCTCAAGGTGTTGCACAGCACTTTTGAGCCAGCTGGCATCGTCTACCTTTTCACCAAGTCTTGCAGTGAATTGCTGCTGCGTGCTACATCTCATCAGACCTCAGTTCAGGTTTGCTGTTCAGTAGCAAGGACCATACCTGTCATTTCTCTCAGTTTCTTTCCCTTGATGCTGCAGCAGAGCCATAGGTTGCCGACTTTCAGAGAACAAGCGTAGGTCTCTTCTTTTTTCCTGTATGGGAGTGATTATAATTTGAGAGAGATGATCCTATTCACTTTCTTTAAGAAGGCAAGAAAGATTCTTGAAGAAGAAATAAAAAGGCATGTTTTACACAACAAAAAGTCAGCATAAATTGACATATTTTCCAGAAAATCTCACAGTGCTAAAATTGATGAGTTTGTAGCATTTCAGGCAGTTTATCTCCCATTTTGTTTTGAGGAGACCCTGTTAGCTATGCAGGAGACAGGAGAGCATCCAAAGGAAGCTTACAGTAGTAGGCAGCAGAGAGTTCAGAAGAAGACAACAGCTACCAAATTCAGCAATGCGTGAGGACTGTGTTTAAGTGTATTTCCAGTGCCTTGGCATGTCCTTACAAGTTCTTGAAAATAGTGAAATTTAAGCACAGAATCAGATACTTCTGCTGAACTGGAGCTGAGGGCTCCAGATACACAGGCAGCATCTGTCCATCTCGGCTCCTGTACTGTGCACTTATGTCAAGGGAGTCTCTGCAAGGATGTAACTGAAGGATTCGTCCAGGAATTCACGGTTGCCTTTGGATGTCTATAAGAAAACTGCCTGGCATATGCTGTGGTAGTTTGCATCTCTGCCAGAATTTTTAAGAAGTTGCAAATGGTAATAAATGATTTCCCTAGCAGAATAGGAAGTTAGATTTTGTTGATTTGTTTTGGTGAGAGGAGTTCCTCTTTGCTAAGGGTAAGAGTTTTGTTCCTCACACTTCAAATGAGAAATGTGGAAATGTCATTATAGTCAGAGCAGGTATCCTGTCTTTTACACTAAGTTGCCCCCTGGTTTTCTAGATAGGTAGAGCATTTCTCACAAACAGCCAGGAGTCGGGTAGGTCCAGATTCAATTCTAGCCTGTGAGTAGTCTCATTTGTTCTTTACTCAGCTACAGCATAAATAATAGTGGCAGAATGTGCCTGTAATATTCTGATGGTGCCTTTAATGAAATAGTTGCTGGGTGGGATATGAAAAAGCAATGTGAAACTGGCTACAGCCCGAGTTACTGCTTTGCAAACTTCTTACTATGTATTTCCATATAAATACATGTCAACCGATTACATTTTATGGAATTTCAAGTGAATTCCAAGTGAAGCCCTGGACGATGGGTGCTTTGGCAGGTCTCTGTTTGATCTAAGAGTCTTTCCATATAAATATTCAATGCTTTTCAAAGTGGAGTGGTTTTGGACCCCCAAGCATGTAGAATTTACTGCCTACCTCTGCGCTGAGGGCTGACCCAAACACAGCAGAATTTGAATTCCCTCTGTAAAATTGACTCCACTAGTTCTGCACATTATTCTCCCTGTCTCCCATTTAGCATGTTAGTCTGCTGACAGTAGAGTACACAGCACTTAGCAGCTGGTTTGTGGAACCATCAGTCAGGAAATTATATGATAAATAGGAGGTAGCCAGGTTTAGTGGCACTTTATTCTGCTTCAGCAGTTTTAGCCTGACTTTGCAAAAAGTCATCATGTGGTTTTTCTTAAGGGTTGCAACAGGAGATGGCTACAGTGTAGTAACTTATTACACATACACTTGAGTTATGATGTTCACCAGCTGTATTGCTCATGTGTAAATAATAAACTGTGAGATGGATAATTATGTTGGGTTTTGATATGCAGCTCTGCTCTGATCGGCGCAGGGCTGACAGAGACAGCTCCCTGTGCCGTGATGGAGTACGGCTGTTTCCCAGATGGAAACTGCAAACAAGATGCAACCAAGATATACAAAGGAGCTTAATGTGAGAGGACTCAAAAAGATGTTCTTGGAGATTTATATCCCATGTGTTAAATACAACTTGTTGGTGCTCTGCGCTGCATAGGCCCCACAAAGGGGAATAGCCTTTTTGGGTCATTTAATACTCATTTTCCATTTCCCAGATAGGGGAAGATAGATGATAGCATTCAGGAGGGTTAAATGGTGTTTCGCTACATAAATATTGGGACTGCAGGCAAGGAGATGTGCTAAAACACACTTCTCATGCCCCTTTTCCCCTTCTCCACCTTGGCGGCTGGTGAGGAATGTGTTTCAGGAGGTGGCAGCAAGCATCCTCCACTCAGACGATGACAGTGTGTTCACAGGGGTACCTGGT